TCAGAAACCAACCGGCATTCCTGTCCTAGGTAAGAACGCTTGTTGATTACTTCTTTATCCACGTGGAAGCAACGACATAGCCCACTTGTGGTATTTTGTCTGGAGGATTGTCCGTTACTTGAACCTTTGCCTTGCCACCTTTGCCCAGTCCGTACTGACTAGGTGCACAAGGTTTTACGTCATCAGATAAAAATACTTCTACACATTTAAAAGTGCCCTGTATGCTCTAGCAAGTGCATGTAGATGATATACCAGTCCAAAGGCATGTTATTGCAGATAACAGATTGTTCTCGTTAGTTCAAACACTGAACCCACAAAGTAAATGGAGTCTGTTGTAAGCCAATGTGACTGCTGAGGCTTTTATGTAACTCTGGTTTCTGTAGAATAAAACGACTAAGAATAGTTTTGTTCCCTCCCCTAGATGGGATGTCAGTCCATTGCAGGCTTCTCTCAAGCTGATGCCACTGCTCAATTTTATTTTCAGAGAGAAGCAAATCGAGGTGAAGTGGCTTGCCCAAGGATGCAATATTCTGCAGCGGGTGGATTCAAACCCAGGACCCGCTGATGACAAGTCATAAACCTTACCCACTCCGGCCAAATCCCCCCTCCTTTACTGAGGCCAGAAATCCTGCAATAACCAAAATGTCCACCACAGTTGCATGGAGTTAAGATGCAAACATTGACCAAGTTTTTTTGTTTTCAATTTCAGGAGAAGCAGAGGAGGACACCGGCCGAAAGAAATCAGGGCTGTCGTTCCAAGCCCCAGTAGGTGTCCCCAAGCCCCGGGCTAGAATGAAGCAGTTCAAACTGAGTGATGTAACCGTGCCATTGGAGCAGATGGTGGCTAACAAGCTCGTCAGTGGGGCTGTCTCCAGAATTATCACCTCCGAAAGTGAGTTGTCGTGTTAAAAAAATGTTTCACTGTCGTGTTTGGACTTGCGGCTTCTCAACTGAATGATACCTCCTTCTGGTTCGTTGGCGACAAAATGACTTTGGTAGCAACAAGTTAAAAAATTTATGTACTGTGCCAGATAGTGCTTATGAAAAGTGAAAAAAAGTGCTTGAGATTGCTAAACAATCATTTACATGGAGGAATGAAGAGTGATGTTCTTTCTGTATTGTTTATTGAGATCCCTGGTTGTATAAGGCAGTAGATTTCCAGGCCAACTAGAGATCTTCATGATTGTTGCTTTTAATTTTTTCTTCTCAGAAATGTCTCAGCAGGGAGGGGCATCCCAGGCCCGAATCAAGATTCTTGTGGGCCTTGTCAGCCAGTTCAGCGGTATAAGGCAGTAGATTTCCAGGCCAACTAGAGATCTTCATGATTGTTGCTTTTAATTTTTTCTTCTCAGAAATGTCTCAGCAGGGAGGGGCATCCCAGGCCCGAATCAAGATTCTTGTGGGCCTTGTCAGCCAGTTCAGCGGTGATCTTTTTCCAAGTGAGTCTTGGTTTTTGATGTTTTGTTTTCTCAAACCTGGGGTAACAAAGGGGTGTTTTTTTACTTGAAGGCTGAGGAATGTCTGATTGATTGCCTCCCATGAATTTGATGAATTTGCATCTCTTCATGAAAGGTTAACTTTTGGAAGTGAGACTCTTTATCAGTTAGTTTTTCTTACTTGTAGGTTTTGACACTCTAAAACAGTGGTGAAGGGTTAATGATGTAAACTTAAATTTTGTCCAGTATTTTGGAAATTTAATGTTTTTGTTACATCGAAGGTATATTATTATAAATAAAATTACTATATTTATTTTGTCACATTTCATCAAAGGAAACATTACCGTTCAAGTTCAAGATGATTGAGAGGCATTATTGGGAGACAAGGGATACTGTTTTTTTAATTGACGCTGCTGGTAGCTTCCGCCCAGATCACAGTTCATCTCCCTGCTGAATCTAGCCCAGTTTCATTTTTTACACCAACTATACGGCCAGCACAGGAATTCCATATTTGGGCAGTGAAGGGTAAAAATGATCCTTGATGGCTGACCTCTTTGTACCAATTTAGCTTGTATTGTTGATGTCAGGTAAAGTTTGGGGTAAATCTAGTAATTCATTGCTAGGATTTTGCCATTTTCTTAACTGATCCAGTGCTGAAGGACCACGTTCTTGAAGATTTGCGCTCACGCTCGGAGCTGGCCTTTGCTTGGCTGTACCAGGAATACAGCAGTTACCAGGGTTACATGCCTCGATATTTGGACCAGGAAGTCAGCATGAATCGTTATGATAAACTGCTGTGCGCTATGCTGATGGCACTGTTGGACAGACCAGACCAGAGAGATGGGTAAGTGTTCCCTTGTCTTCAACAAGTTCCTCCCTTCTCCATAATTCTACAACTTCTTACCCTCTCCTCAGCCCTCAAGCCCAGAGCTTTAAATAGAAAGAGTAGCGCCAGCTTCGGATTTTTGAAACAAAACGGCTGTTTATCATGTGTACAGTGGAGCATGCACCTGTTGTGGGCTTGCCAACTGTCTGTGTGCACTGGGGCATGCACCTGCCAGTTTGTTTCTTACAATAGTGGTACTTATGTCACAATTCTCTGTACACGGTTCTACTCAAGCTGACCCTTCTCCCCCCCCATTCATCCTCCCTCTCCTGAGATGTTGACAGAAAATTCTGTTTAAAGGGGAAAAATGTGATATATTTTACAGTACATTAAAGGATGCAGTTAATTTGTATTTTCCATGTAAGCATATAAAATAACATTGTATTGATAAACCACTGATGACTGCCAAGATCAAAGCCTTGATTAATCAGAGACAAACTCTTGTTCCAGAAGGGAATTTAAGATGAAAGTCTAATAAAGGTGGATAGCCAAACCTTTTGTATGACGATGCTTGTTAAGGTGACTCTCATCTGTACTTTGAATTCCCTGCTAGGCAACATTATTGGGAAATCCAGGCAGCTTATAGGGTAGGATTTATGCCTCGAGGAGAGTGGCACAAAAATGTAAGAGGACAAAAGTGTAAATGTTGTTGACAAATGCGGATGAGAGGGTCAAAAGGAATGCTAATGGTAAGAGAGCATTAACCCCTTGACGACGGGAATTTCTTCCCGAAAGCTGGCTCCAAGAATTCCAGCCTCGCTTGGCCACGAAGGCCAACTGCCAAACCGCAGATTCTCGGTTTGTGGCCCTGCGTGCTCTGCACGCTTTGAATTACACGGTGAAAAGGCTGATTGTTCGGTGGCATGCGCCTCTACTCAAGCTTCCACATTCCCGTTGCCTCTTTTCAAAGTGGGGACCATTGTGATGCTGGTAATTATGATGCAAATTCGGTCTTTTCCTTTCTGGGCTACGCACAAAGGCCAATCACCATACATACAAGAGCCAGGGTCTACCTTCTTTCACCGTGCTCGCTCGAGCGTGGGCCGAGAATAATAGCTGAAAAGCGGGCTGAGGATCTCAATTTTTATGGCGGCTCTATCCGCGTCCCGGCTCGAAGGGGTTAAGAAAATGAGAATAATTGTTATGAAATGGCTTCATCAGATCTTGGATTTTATTAAAATATGTGTCTTTTGCTGTTGCAGACTGTTCACACGCCTTGTAATGGAAGCACCTGTAATCACCGAGAGAGCTGTCAAAGTCATCCGAAAGTTCTGTGAAGATGAGGTACAAGATTTTTTTTTCTTGGAAAATATCGATCAGAAGTAGTTATTGATCATCATGTATATTTTCTGACAATGATTGGAGATCTCAAATCTTGACATCTTGAAATTGAAAGCAGCAAGAGCAAAAATACAGTCTCTAAAGTTAACTTGAATATCAAGCCAAAACAGTAAAATGCAAAGTTACAATTGCATTAAAACTATGGGTTAGAAAAATTTGATGTAGCCTTTGTCGGTTTGGAGTAGTTGGTATCCTTTCTTGTTTTTCAGACCCATTTCTTCACTGGCATGCATGCCTTGCGTGAGCTAATCCTCAAGCGGCCAGCAGACATCCAACGCTACCTGCAGGAGCTTCTGGAGTTGACATTCCATGAACGGACAGAAGTCAGATCACAGGCCACTCAGTATGTCAAACGGCTGTACGAGAGACAAGACTTGAAGGAAACAATTGAGGTAAAATGACTAATGATTAGGGTTTTTTCTTAACCCCTTTGCGATGGATGACGGTAAAAGCCGCCACAAAATTTGAGATCCTCAGCCGGCTTTTCAGCTATTATTCTCGGCCCACACTCTAGCGAACACAGTGAAAGAAGGCAGACCCTGGCTCTTGTATATATGGTGATTGGCTTTTGTGTTTAGACCAGAAATGAAAAGACTGAATTTGCATCATAATCACCAGCTTCACAATAGTCCCCACTTTGAAAAGAGGCAACGGGAATGTGGAAGCATGAGTAGAGCCACATGCCACCGAACAATCAGCCTTTTCACTGTGTAATTCAAAGCGTGCAGAGCACGCAGGGCCACGAGAATTCGTGGTTTGGCAGGTGGCCTTCGTGGCCAACTGAGGCTGGAATTCTTGGAGTCGGCTTCCGGAAAAAAATTCCCATCGTCAAGGGGTTAAAATAGATAAATTTGTACCTTTTGCAAAGAAAAGTAGTACTTACTTTTAGTGTGATATCTTACTTGCAGTGTCGGTGCAATCTTTCATTGTATTGCTCATTTATTTCACCCATTCCTTTCTTCTCCAAAGCTCTTGTTATAATAACTTGATGTCCATTGTGTGAGAACGTAAGCTGAAGTTCAAATCACTAAAAAGAAAACTTTGCTGATGTTTTCATTGCTAAATCTAAAGCCTAAATGTAAAACCCAAAACCTAAAGCCAAAAACTTCAGAACCGAAGTCCCAAACCAAACAACAATAGCCAAACAAACAGAAACCCTAATATGAATGTATTAATAATATGAATATTGCCATTGGTTTTATAGACATTAGATCATGGAGGATTTTTGATTATCTCAAAAGATTTATAGCAGTGATACCATCTGGTGCATTGCTTAAAGTAGGAAAATTCTCAGGCCGTCCAGCTACAGCATTAGCTTTGCAATTGTATTCCAAGACTTTTGTTGGGTTTTAACCTCTCAGGAGTTTGCGAGCAAGTGTCTCCATTACTTATTGAGTGACGTGCCAAACCCCTCCCTCGTCAGTCGGACCTCAGAGGGCGGTGAAGGTGGCAGTGATTGGACGGAAGCCTCCATTAAACTGTGCCTGCATCTTTACCTGGCCTTGCTGCCTAGCAACCACAAACTCATTCATGAGTAAGCTTTATTAGATTGGTCTTTTCTTGCTGTAAATTTACAAGAAGTAGATATTCCTGATACAAACTTGATATTTTTTGACTGAGCCCAATGGTGGATCCTTTCTTGTGTCACTTGTATGCACAATATGTTAATTACTAACTTTATTAATGTGGACTTGTTGTTAGGCTTAAATCATTTGAGGACAGTACACGGAATCTTAGTGGGCAAAATAGTTTTGTAAAACTTAGGCGTGTACTACAAGTGTGTGTATTTTCCTTCCCAATTAAATTACACTTAACCAGAGGTTAGGTCAGTTTGTAAGTCAAACATTTTAATTGAAGAATTTAATTTATTTGTGCAAAGAGAGTCAGAGTTTTGATCAAATATTCTATAAAGAATTTTAATGTTTCAGTCATGAAATTATTGTCTAAACATTCTAGGATATTTGTCTGTACATAGTAGGCTGTCTTGCTTTTACTCCAAAACTGCCGTATTGTGAAATACCAAAATGTGACAATAGTGTGGTATGTCATGGTTCCTTGTCTTACATTGATAATTACTTCAAAGCATTAATTTTCTGTTGATTTCCCGTATTTTGTGATTTTATAAATTTCTTCATCCTCCCCATGACTTCCAGATTGTTTTGTAATGAATATCTATTTGTTGGTTGTCTTTGCAGACTTGCAACGGTTTACGTTGCCACCTCTGCTCTCATCAAAAGAACTGTTCTACGAGTCCTTGAAGCACCGGTATGGAGAAAATGGTCGTATTTGTCGTGGCAACAATTTGTTGTGTGCCTTGCGGAAGGGCACTAGGGTGTTATGTTTTTCCACACAAATTACAGTGTAGAGAGATTGCTTAATTACGCTTATTTGCAAGGCAGAAGACGGATTCGTTTTTGAAGGTTTCACTAATGGGCACTTCCTTCTTAGGGAATCGATGTCACAGATATAAATCCCCTTTTGGGTCTGTACACAAGTACCCACCCAGTGGTGACAAATAAGAAGGCTATCACAGGACCTGCCTGGAGACCTGATTATGCGTTTCTTAACAATCAAGGATGGTTTTTCAAGGAGTGTGGTTTGAAATGCTGCATCTTTAAGCAGCGTAACATGAAAAAAGAAGGTAGTGTTTCATTCATACGAGAGTCTGAGCACTTCTGTCGGTGTGACTGGAATTTTCTGTCTGGATTTTTTTATTGAAGGTGCGAGGGATGGGCATGTCTTCCCCCGAACTACTGTTGCTGGTCGAGAACTGTCCTAAAGGAGCAGAGACACTGGTCACTAGAATGCTCCACATACTCACTGACAAAGGTACTTTAGTGGCAAAGTCCAAATAACGTTCCGTGTACCTACGGATGAAATGGATAGCTGATAAAAATGAACTAAGCAGGTTGTAAGGGAGATTGTGTTACCTTAACAAGTTTGTGGCAGAGTCTAGAATTTCTTCACTTCTTGGGATGTTATCTGTCACTCTTATCAGAACATTCAAGCACCCGAAAGCTTTTGCTTTTCGTGGACAAGTCTTTGAACATATGTTATATGATTACTGTTCAAGCTTTGGTTAACACTTTTCCATTTTGATGATTGTTATAAGAACTTTTTTATAAATGATGACTCAAAATGTCACTGAATATTAGAAAATTGAAGTTTAAGATTTTCCATAAAGTAGTCCGACTTTGTTTACCTGAGCTTCACTGCCCAACTTCTCAGTCATGGAAAAATCCTTCGAAGTAGTTGTGCCGGAAAGCCTTGGAAAATTGGGTGAAAATAGGATTGACTTCTATTGTCTGAGGGAAGAGCAAGGGGCATTTTTAACAGCTGCTTTTAATGTGAAAACAGAATCATTATGAATTTACAGGCTATATCCTTGTCAGTCTATAAGTAGTTGCTATGGCAGTCTTAACCATTTCCCGCTTTTAAAAATGCAGTGCCTACATATGGGCAATTTTTTTTCCTGAATGCCTACCCCATGGAGTGACTGTCTGGTGGCTACTCTAATCTGACAGACATCTATTGATGCCAGAGTAATTCAGCCAGGCCTGGCGCTTTGTGAAAAGAGCTCAGATTGTGTGCTGTTACATAAGTTTCTTTTGTTCCTGAAATTGGCACAGTGTGTTGCTGGCGTCTTCTCAATAGGGGCCAGATTAGCATGCAGCGGTATTGTATTGCTTATCTCTGGAGTGCTTTTGTCCCTGGTGGTAATCCACTCGCACTGAACTGTTGATGGATTTCCTCTGCTATTGACAACTGAAAAAATGTTGTCAATTCCCAGCAGCTCTGTCTTTTGTTCCGGGTACTGTCTTTTGTTACATACAAGGCCCACAGCTCTTTTGTCTGATTTCGGGCACCCTAGCTATGTGTACAAACCCAAGGTACTCGAAACCAGGCTCCCTGGCTGGATATGGTTTAAATTCATATTACCAAACAACATTTCCTTGCAAAATGGTGTAAATTCCATGGAAATCATTGTATTTTAGTCCTTTAAAGTCCTAGAAAAGTCATGTTATTTGGTTGTCAGATTTTATTAGAACCTGCTTTTACCCATCATCATTTCTTCACTAATTTGAATTTTCTCTTCACATGATGCATAGTTTTATGTCATGATGTAAATTGTAAACTAAAATTTTCAACCTTTGTGTCAACAAATGTAGCCCCACCATCTCAGGATCTTGTGAAGCGAGTGCGTGACCTGTACTTGAAGCGTGTCTCCGATGTACGCTTCTTGATTCCAGTACTGATTGGATTAGAAAAGGTAAGAAACCTGGAAAATGGTCAACCCCAGTCGAGTTAAAATGAGTCTTCAATCATTTGCATGTCATCAGATTTGGTTTGTCATCAGATTGTATGTTGTACCTGAAATCTTGTTGCCGGAGTCATACGTCCTCCTTCATGAGGCTGAAAACCGCAGTTCCCCAATATTGTAAGGGATCAAGTCCCAAACCTTCTCGTGCCAGGTTTGCAGTCTCATTCTTTTGGGGGGCAACTGTAAATATTTTGGATCGTAGTCTTTATTTTATTTAGTAAACTCCCATGTTATGTGGTGTGAAGCCCAACGGTTGAAGGGCAGAGATGTAAGTTCTTGTGTTGTACTGTCTCATGCCCCTAGAACTTGTATCGTGAAGACCCCATACTCGCTCTACCATATCTCAAGCTTGATAGTAGAATTCACAGAGCCAGTAGATAGGGCCGTTTAGGGGATTAAATAGAAGTTGGATGTCATATGCTGGGTAATTTTTGTTGATGCTTAATCTGCTAATTGTCAGATTGTTCCTACTTCAATCAGCTTATTGTCAAAAGAGCACATGAGAAACAAACATGCAAATAACAAATGGAGAGCAAGTCAAGGAACATGCCTAATTACAAATGAGGTCGCTCACCACAGGTTTGCATCTGTTCCAAAACTCCAGAAAGAGGTGATAGCAGCGCTACCCAAACTGATCAAGTTGAACCCCATTGTCGTGAAGGAGGTGTTCCATCGTCTACTCATGAGTCACCAGGGGGATAATAGTGCTGGTCAGAGCCCACTGACACCAGCCGAGCTGCTGATTGCACTGCACAACATTGATACTTCCAAGTGCGATATCAAATCGATCATAAAGGGTGAGCGGGGTTACCATTGGTTTGTCTTGCAGCTGTCTGCAGCATAAAGTTACATTTGCCATCCTCTGGCAGCCTCAATTTGTCTACACTCCTGTCCATTAGTGTGATTTTGCTCAAGTGGATTTCGTGCGTAACTATGCTCTCAGCAGTAAGAACACATCCTTGTTTTCTGTGAGGAAAGGCTTGATGTATTGGGTGAGTTGATGTGAAAATGAATTGCAAGAAAATGAGGTGTCCAGGAATAAACCTCGTAATGCTTAGGCCAAAAAAATAGTTCTGCTTCCAATTACATGCCTCTCAAAAATAGGGTCGGTGGTCAGAAAAATTTTTGGGGGTCAATTTTTTTGTACTGATGTAATAGCATGAATTGGGCCGAAAGCTACAAAAACATGTTTTAATCTATGTAAAAATTTCAACAGTTGACAATCCACATGAATTATGGAGAATTTACACATTGCTAGTCGGGTAATCACGACAGCAAACTGGCCAACAATGTCCTTGTATCGCGTGGTAAGCGTCCATGATGTATCCTACATCAATTCTTCATATCCTACCTAAATCTATTAATTTCAACAGTTGACAATCCACAAGAATTATGGAGAATTCACACAATGCTAGTTAGGGTTGCGCCGAAAAATTAGGGTCGGTTGGGAAACGGGAAGCAGCAGTATTTTTTTGGACCTTATAATAGCACATTCCATCTCAAAGCCTTTTTACGTCATTCATCATGTAAGACAAGTATGCAGCATGTGTATGCTCACATGTTGTCTGAGCATGTGTATGCTCACATGTTGTCTGAGCATGTGTATGCTCACATGTTGTCTGAGCATGTGTATGCTCACGTTGTCTGAGCATGTGTATGCTCACATGTTGTCTGAGCATGTGTATGCTCACATGTTGTCTGAGCATGTGTATGCTCACATGTTGTCTGAGCATGTGTATGCTCACATGTTGTCTGAGCATGTGTATGCTCACATGTTGTCTGAGCATGTGTATGCTCACATGTTGTCTGAGCATGTGTATGCTCACATGTTGTCTGAGCATGTGTATGCTCACATGTTGTCTGAGCATGTGTATGCTCACATGTTGTCTGAGCCCTTACAGTATGCAGCATGTGTATGCTCACATGTTGTCTGAGCCCTTACAGGTACCCATTTATGAAACATCTGGGTGGAGAGGGGCAAGTAGGGGTAGAGTGACTTGTCTAAGGTCACAACATGAAACTCGTATGCTGGATTCGATCCCCTAACCCTCTGATCGAGAGTAACTCTAACCAACAGGCAATACTTCACCCTGAAGTGCTGAACTCTCCCCCGCCCATACTTACAGTTATAGAATCAGTCACCGACAGTCATATCATCTTTTGTTCATGCTACCTGTTCAGCCACCAGTCTATGCTTCAATGAGAAGGCCATTTACACCCAGGAAGTCCTTGCTGTGGTCATGCAGCAGCTGATGGAGCAAGGCACCGTACCCACGCTGCTCATGCGTACCGTCATCCAGTCCCTGGGCATGTATCCCAGACTCAGTGGCTTTGTCATGAACATCCTGCAGCGGCTGATTGTCAAACAGGTCTGGAATCTGCCCAAGGTCTGGGAGGGGTTCGTCAAGTGCTGTGAGGTGAGCGACTGAGACTTTGATTGTGCAGCATCAGGAATTTTAGTCCTAAATTTTGGAATATTTGTACGTGTATTGTGTCTGTACGTGTCTTGCGAAGTATGTTTGCCGAAAGTACATTCAGTGTCACAGCCATCAGAAATGCATTACCAGGTGTTAGGAGAAATAAGATTTCACCAGGGGTTGGGAATCATATTGTGCATGGAGAGGAGAGAACTTTTTCTGTTTTTAGCTTTTAGTGTTTGTAGCATACAAGTAGTTGGATTACTCACAAGAGGTCCAGTGTTTGAGACATGCCATGATTAGCTACGCAAACCTTAAATACCTAGTGTGGACCCATGACCAAGAGAGGTCCGCACAACGCAGATTGTGTGAACCTTTTGTGGACTAAGCCAGGTTCACACAAGGCTACTCCCTTTCTGGAAAACAGATTTAGAGGCAAGTTGGGATTGGGGTTATTGATGGTGAAACAGAAGGGGAAAAGTCAAGAAAAACCATCAATGAAACTCCAACTTAAGAAAGTGTTCACTGTACAAGAAAAGGAGTATTTTAACTGAGTTTTCTTAAGTACATGAAAACACAGGATTGTCTGTATATACGGAACTTGGTATGTAATCAGGTATGTGTGAACAGTACAGAGCAAACATTACTTAATTCCATTTGAATAAGTACAACTGTGTGTCATCTTGGCATAGATGCTGATTGCATGACATTCAAATGTTATAATATTAGTAGCCATTTCCGGTAATGAAACCAAAGGATTCCTCACAAGTGCCCCAGGTACCATAGCTGACAAACATCAAGAAACCTGTAAATAAGACAGAGTGAGAAGCAGTTATATTTTTAGAAGTGGGAGGGAAACCTCAGAATATTCTGGGTAAAACCCACAGAGTTTGGTGGGGACTGAAAACCTCAATCCACATGTGGACCGGGCCAGGAGTTGATCCCAGGCTGCAGAGGTAGAAAGTCAGGAAAGAACTGCCTGACTAATAGTCTTACCTTTCTCTTGCTGTTGTTGAAGGGTGCACACACACAGAGTTTGTGGGGTACCATCTTTGTGCAAGTGTTCGACACTAACCATTTCAGTCTTCAAAATATGTTACTTCCAATTTTGCAACCTTTTCTTCTGATCAAATTACACACTTTTGTAATTTGTCCTAACAGCGCACCAAGCCACAGTCTTTCCAAGTTCTTCTTCAGCTCCCAGCTGAACAGCTTAAGAACGTCTTTGAGATGAGCCCTGACATGCGAGCTCCAATGCTGGCACATGTCCAGACCTTTACACCACATCAGGTGAGATATCTTCTGTGGGTTCATAAACACCAGTCGTCCCATATCTAAGAGATATCCATTTTGTTCTTGCAGTCACTCAAACCTTCAAACGGTGTCTTTTATGTCTTATTGCAAACATTCAAGGGCAGTGAAGAGCACAATGTCACATAGCTCTGTGAACTTGACAAAAGTATCCTTTCTTGGTGGATGGTTAGAGAGAGTATTTCTAATAAAATCTTACCCAACGTACCCTAATCGAAACAACCTCCATGCCGACTTTTAACCTAGCTAAGGAAACCTTAATTCAACTCACCCCAATCACATAGACTAAAACTCTCCAACAGAGAGAGAATGATCAAAATTTGAACCAGATACATGTGATTTTACTTCAAATCACCTTAAATTATTCCAACCATAATCTGAACTCTGCAGAACCCAGCCCAACCTTACACTCCATTCCAATATGTTAAACATCATTTATACATGTTAATGTAAAAATTAACCCACTTGCTCAGTTGGATAACACTCTTTTCAACCCCACCTAACTTTGAACCTTACTCAACCAAACACAACCTGAATGCGGAGGTAAAACTAACGGTAACAGTCATCCTTTTCTGTGCATTTACATACACTTCGCTCTAATTTGAAGAATCCTGATATTTTCAAATCACAGCAAGCACACATCCCTCCGCCAATCATGACAGTCCTGGAAACAGATCCTCTGGCTGAGAAAAAGAAGATGGAAGAAGAGGAACGCAAAAAACGAGAGGAGGAGCTTAGGATCAAAATGGAGGCAGAAGAAAAGCAAAAAGAAGAAGAGCGGCTTCTTCAGGAAAAGCTGGCCGAGGAACGGAGGAAGCAAGAGCAACTGAAAAAGGAGGCTGCTGAAAAGGCAGCCAAGGAGAAAGCTGAGAAGTTGAAAGCGCAGAGGGAGGCAGAGGAAAAGAAGAGGAAGGAAGCGGAAGAAAAATTGGCAAGGGAGAGGCAAGAGAAGATGAGGGCTGAGCAAGAGGCCAGCCTGAAGGCAGCGAGGGAGGCAGGAGAGCGAGTGGCCAGGGAGGCCCGGGAGAGGAGGGAGAAGAGGGAAGCTGCCAGGGAAGCTGGGATCAAAGCCGCTATGGAGGCCAAGGAGAAGAAAGAAAAGATGGAGGCTGAGGAAAGAGCCAGAAGGCAGGAGGAGCAACAAAAGGCAGCACTTGCCCGGCAGGAGGAAATGGAAAAGAAGAAACAAGAAGAGGAGCAGAAGAAGCAGGAAGAAATCAAGAGGAAGGAAGAAGAGGCTCTTAAGAGGGAGGAAGAAGAGAGGAGACAGCAGGAAGAGCAGAAGAGTCGGCAAGAAGAGGAGAACAAGAAACGTGAGGAGGAGACACTAAAACAGGAAGAGGAGAAAATTAGACAAGAAGTGGAAGCAGAGAAGAAACGACAAGAAGAATTGGAAGCGGAGAGGAGGATAAAAGAACAAATTCAAGAAGATCAGGAAATGCAGGAGATGGTGACTGTTAAGCAAGAGCCTGATGAGCTAAAGGAATTTGAGGCAGCTGCACATCAAGAGATGCCCCTGAAAATTAAGCAAGAGAAACCAGACCAGGAAGCACAGGAAGCCACAGTTGACACAGAGTTCAAAATTAAGAAAGAGGTCGAGGACTACCCAGAGCAAGAAGCAGTTGAGAATCCATTTCAGGAAACGGTGGAAGATGAAAGCCAGTCCTCTAACCCAGTCGCTTCTGCTGAATTGGAGAGTGAAGACACTGGAGATGGATCTGTACAGTCAGAGATGCCGTCACCAGCAGGAAGGGGGAGAGGCCGGGGAAGAGGAGGGCGGGGTCGTGGCAGGGGAGCCAAAAAGACAGCAACACCCTCCCCCTCGGGTACACGGAAGAGCACAAGGAAAAAGAACTAGTTGCACCCCAATGAGAAGTTTTTTGTGATTTTTTTATTCAGTGAACTTTGCAGTTTTTGTAATTTGACAGGATTCACTGTCATGTCTTCAAAGCATATTGATAGATTGTCTCAGAGGTGTCCCTTGGGTGTTGCAAGAGGCGATGGGCAGATGTTATCCCCAACCCCTGTCGTAGTCTACCCCAAAAGATCAAGACAATACCTGACAATATCTGAGGACATGTCACAAGCTGTTCAAATTGCACCAAAAGCATTTCTCAGTTACTCTTCACCCTGTTGTATGTGAGTGGTCATGTCTGGCCTTGTGTTCAGTCTTGAGGTGGTTGTGACTCCAAGGCCACACCTGCTTTTTGTGGGCAGGTAGTTGTTCTTTATGGTAAAATCACGACCCCCCCCTCCATTTTTATTTATATGGTCTAGTGATGCCCATTTGTTCTCATGTCACCAACTGGACAGAATTTAATTGAAACCAGGGCTGATTTGATCAAGGTCATTCAAAAATTGGCAGCAAATGTGGTCGTTTGAATAAACTTACTCAAGGTGTAAGCTAAATGTCTTGTTTAGCAAGTTGTTTTGTCTAACACTTTTATACTCTTTTGGGCTCCATAGAGAAAAGAATTTTCATCTAGCCTTTTTTCCTAAGGCACAGTTTTGCAACTTAAGGTTGCACCCAATGAGGAAGTTATTTGTTTTCAAACAAGTATTTGAAATCACACTTTGTTTCTGTTAATCGAGGTGTAAGCAGTCAGCTGCCATATTAACATTATGGTACTTGAAGGCATCGATGTCTGATGTTTGCATTCCAATATCCTTTCCCTTTTTTAATTCATGTAGTCTACCTTCCTTCTCAATGTACAGGACACAAAGTTTTGTTAAATCAAGCAGTGAACCAAAACTCAGTCGTAGAGTTTACAAAAAGAACATTGACATGCTTTGGCAGTGTGCAAGTTGCTAAAGCATTTTAATAAAGATATTTCAAAAATGTACGCTTGGAAATTAAAAACAGGTGTACACACATAAAGAATCTCGTTTATGTAGAGTTGCCTCCTGTATATTTTCCAAGTATGGCCCATTTTATTTAGTACAGAAATCACCCCACCACATAAGGGGCTGTTCATTTCACACAACGAAAGTCCAACTTATCATTGGAACTGATTCTTGATTGATGCAAAAGATGAAAAAAGTCTTATTTCAAGAGATGTTATTGATAGCGGTGGAGTGCAGAAAGCTGTGGCTACATCCACAATAAAAAATGTTCAATTTACAATATTTCATGGGTACATTCCTGATGTATGTACCCGTGTCGAAAATGATTTAACTTCCCAAAACTGCCATTAGCCTCATGAAAGTTTGCATATTAAAAAAAATCCTAAAAGCTTTAGTTAGCGACTGCTCTCAAAGTGGTCTTTATTCTAGAGGATAACCCGCAAGCGTCTCGATGGGGTTGGATGGCCTGTTAAAAAGAAGGGGTAAAATTGCGTAAGAGCTCCAACTTTGTAGTACGTGTATCTGAAGCGAATGGATTTTTATTCGAAACCATGCAGACGGATTTTTCAGATACAAGGCAAGATTGTATGCTTTAAAATGCTCCAAGATGTCAAAATGAAAGCCTTCAAACCACGCAGGTAATTGGTTCCAGTCTTAAAAGGTTTCAAGAGCATAGTCTTGCGGAACATAAAACGTTCAGGTTATATAATGCCATGTCCAACTTACTTGGCTTGAAGTTTTTCATGACTATATTTATTGGTACTGGCTGAGGCCACCACCATAGACTTGTGGGGAAATTCAAGCCACAGCCAAATAGTTTCGAAATGGCCCTGATGAATTTCCTGTGCATAGCTGAACAAAGATCTACTTCGGACCAGTCAATGCCCGTGTAAATTACTTTGCACTTGGTTGATGACTACCGTTACTGGCTTATAAAGTATGCGTTGCAAAATTCTGTGTTTCGTATAGGTCAACGAAAATACACTTATTGTCTGGGGAAACATTTACTTAACCCCCCTCCCCATGTTGAAGGTGGTTCCGAAAGATAATAGTCAAATATACCTTTTCAAATTATGACGGCAATATTCGCGACCAGAGAGCGGGTCGTAAATTAGGTTGCAAATACTGACGTCAATATTGACAATTGGCGATGTCTCTCCATGGCCACCATACATACCGGTCGGAGGTGATAGATCTGTCAGGATTAGTAGGCCTACTCCTTAACTCTGCGTTCCATTACTCACTTTTTTGAAACAGCTTTGAAACATACTTGTATAAATCTTGCTTAAAGAGTCAGCCTGTAAATTTTCTTGCGCTGTTAATTTTGTAGCGCTACTGGCAATTTTTTGTGGATATGTGCGCTTTACACAAATTATTTATTGCTATTGAACTCCAAAATCTGCATCGTAATTAGAATCCAAGGTTGCTCATTCTCCAAAACGAAATAGCAATGTGTAGTAAGTGGGCATTTCAGAATTATTTATACATAAGAATATGTAAAGATCAGTGAACCTCATTTTGAGTGGTTTGTGAAGGAGTTCGAAAAGTGCTAACCATAATTTCTTGACGTTGATATAGCATTCCTCATTTTCATATAGTCCCGTGATATGGTTTAGTCCAGGTTTCGCTGCAGTGGCACACATAAGAATGAACCCAAGGCGAAAGAGGAAGAGAAAAGAATACTTGTATATACAGCACTCAGTATTGACTGCACAAACACTCTCATGAAGTTTATCTGGCATTCCTAAATTTCATAGAGTCCTGTTAAGTCCGATTGGTTTTACTGCATGACGCACATATAATAATGTAGCGTGTCCCGCTGCCGGGTTCGACACTGTAAGAACGACACGCTGGTGCAACTCACTGTTCTGGTCCCAAAAATCTCTGCTTTATTCTGTCGCAATCTGACAGCACCACAATGTCCTCTTCCGACAATCCTTTTTACAATATGGCGCCTGACGGCAGGGACTGCGCAGGCGCGAGGCGGGAAAACCGCGGGCCGTTCGCAACCAGCGCGGGCAGCCAGCCAACTCCATGCGGGTCCGAACTGGCGCCCCCACCGGCCGGACCCGCCGGCGCTACAATAATGACTCCAAGGCGCAAGAGGAAGAAGAGAGAGTATGTATCCAGCACTGACAGTGTTGACTCTAGTGTTTCGCGTAGCCAAATCCGGTGCACAAATGAAACGGGTGTGCACTCAGGCGAAGGGTTAACAGAGAGAGCGTCACAGTCTGGAGACTTCATGTTCGTGCAACAAAGGGAAATAGTTTAAGTCAGAGAATAGAACTGTAGATTCGTGCAAAGAATGGGCGAGGCGAATTCGCACGAATCTACAGTCCTAGTCCATCCTTCATGACAGATCGGAAAGCGGGTCCATAACCTGTCACCTTTTTTGGTCTTCCGCGCCAAAAAAGAAGTAGCCATCACCTGCTGCATCACCTTGCCAGCAAGTATGGTTTCACAGTAGTATCGATGTGATAGCGAGCTACCTCCTCAACTCCCCATGAGTGCAGTTCTCTCGGGTCAATTATCCCAGTCCAACAATGTTCAGACGCTCCACGTTCCTAGAATGACGCGGAAACTTGAGGACAGCTGGCGGACAGGATTGGGTGCACAAAAAGAACCTGTGGGGGAGAGCTTTAGAAAGGGAGAGATCACTGAACAGACGCAGTCCTTTTCTCTCGGCATTGGGGTCCACGATCCAACGGTACGAGATCGTTACAGCTGGATACTTCGTATGCAGCATGCAGTCCCTTATGCAACTTAGACCTGTCGGGAGACTCAGGAGGCAATCCCTCCACCCGTCTAGTCTGCGGGGGGCTAACAACCCCTCCAGATGAACCCTTCCTGTTACGGCACTATACTCCATTACCTCTGTTTCTACCCCTGCGTTCTTGTCTGCCCCAGGACCCAATGACGTGGCCTCCCTAAAGGGCCCATTGACACCGGTGCAATCGGACCACTAACATCTTCTGCCACTGTCATCGATTTGCTTCCTGGAACATTCTGACCTTGAATGGTAATGGACGCCTCTCCCTTCTGAGCAGTGAGCTTCAGCGCCTGAACATCGTGGCAGCTGGCCTGCAGGAGGCCTGACGCGGGGAGTACAGGCTGCTCTGGAGCGGTCACAGTTTACTACATTTTCAGGGTGTCGCAATCGCACTCCACCGCCAGGTGGCTCCTCTCTGGTCACGTAGAAATCATTGGACCCTCGGCTCATCTGCGCCAGACTGCATCACACTTGCGGCTTTGTTTCCATCTTCTGCTGTTATGCCCCAATGGAGATGGCTGATGACACTGACAAGGATGTTTTGTACGACTGTTTACAACATAAGCTGTAGCAATCTCCAAGCATGATGTTACCATTGTGCTGGGCGATTTCAACGCGACTGTTGGCGCAGACCGCATTGGCTCCAGGGGTATCCTAGGACTGCACTCTGCTGGAGTGGCGAATGAAAACGGCTTTAGACTCCTGGGTTATCTGCAGCCGCAAACCTCCGTATTGCTTTGTCCTGGTTCCCACATAAACTCACCTATCAGCTCACCTTGTACTCCAATGACGGTAGCATCAGACCATTGACCGTATCCTGACGATGGACGATGGAATGTTCTCACGGATTGCTGGGTTTATCGCAGTGCCGAGTTTGGCCGTACTGACCATCGCCCTGTGGTGGCCACTGTCCGGGTGAAGCTTCTTCGTCACATTCCAGCTGCACCAAAGCGCTATTACAAAGATGGTTTAAGTAGAAATGCAATCCTGTTTGGTGAGATTGTCACGCAAAAACTGGCTGGGGGTCTCCCACACACTGACATAGAGGCCTCCTGGAATTTTTTTCAGTCTGCCCATACGTCTAGCGCCACTGAGGTCGCTGGACAGCATGCTCGCCGCAAGTCATGGATCTCAGGCAGGTCTCTTACCTAGTGGAAGAATGTCGTAAAGCAAGGCTTGACGGACAGCTGGATGCCTACCGATGCCTGGTGGATGCCTTGTGTTGGGACAGACGACGCAGCATACCACTGGATAAAGAAGCTTGGCAGGATAATGTGGCTCAAAGCGCAGGGGATACTTTTACGCACCAGTACAACAGAGCTGCCTTTAGATGCATCTGCTCCCTGTGCAGCGATGACAAACAGTTCTGTTTCCCTCTGCTTGCAACAGATGGTTCGCTCCTGACCCACACCCAGTCCAGACTGCAACGCTGGAATGAACACTGCAGCTACTGACAAATCCTCACACCCTGCCGATGCCCGTCCGCAGGCCTTCGCAGAACGTGGTATGCCTGATCCTACAATCCACACTGATCCAACAACCGCGGAGGAGATTGCATCTGTGATCTAGAAGCTTCCCAAAGGAAAGACTGCCGGACCCGACGATATCACACATGAAATGCTCAAGGCTGCCATCACTCCGACCTCAGGGTACCTCGCTGGCCTGTGCGAGCAGATCTGGGAGTCTGAGGCTGTTCCTGAGTCATGGCGCGATGGAATCATGGTTTCCCTGTACAAAAACAAAGGTGACCGCCGTCAGCTCTCAAGCTGCATACCAATTACACTGCTGTCAGACTCAGGAAAAGTTGTCCCGAGGGTCATCCTCCTCTGGATTCTGCCTCTCTTTTTGGAGAAGCGCCGGCCTCAACATGCTGGTTTTACCCCACGCCAAGAGATCCACTGTCCTCTTACAGCAGCTTATGTGGACTTAAAAAGCGCTTTTGACTCTCTGGACCGACTTGCATAATGGTTACTTTTCCAGGAAACTGGCATTCCTCCAAAACCGCTAAGCCTCTGTACACAAACACCAGATGTTGCGCTAGGGAAGGTTCATCTATATCTGAGCGCTCCACAAGAGCTAGGGGTGCGTCAGGAATGTGTGGCAGCACGGAACCTCTTCAACGTGGCAATTGACTATTGGTTGAATGGGACATTTGAAGTTTCGGTGCGAGTGGGTGTGGACTACCATGGCACTATCACGGACCTCTGTTATGCCTATGATGATGTGCTACTTGCTGAACTGGCTCAGACTGCAGTCCAAGTTCTTAAGACCATGGCCGTCGAGGTTTCCCCCCTTGGCCTTATAATAAACTCCAACACCAGCAGTGAACCCTTGCATTAATCCGTTTGTTAACTATAAGGATGATGGCGGAAGAGAACGAGAGCAACATTGCGTCTTGGTTAGTTTTGCCACCACTCCAAAGTGGTGAAGACAAACAAGGTTGTTGGTGAGGTTGATTCGCCTGGAGAGGGACCTTGGTCACTCAAAAAGGAGTCACGGTCAGTCGGTGCTGAGTTTCCTCGTAAACCTCAGAGTAAGCCTCACAGAATAACAATTAACTCCGACCGATACCACGGTAAAGTTCTGTGGAACGATTATTACCGACATTTTGAGGCATGCAGGAA